TTGAAGTTTCAACACTCTTTTTAAGCACAGACTAGCCTTTAATGTCAGTGAGACTAGACATGGCTCGCTGCTTAAACTCTGATTCTCTGCTGCCCTGCATCATCTTGAGTCATTTAAAACAAGTGACATTAAAAAAATGCATAATGAACAAAAAGACAATGAAAAGATAAGACTGCTAATTAAATAAAAGGTGAGGTTTTTGGTTTAATCCATCATTTACCAAATCACATTCCTAAAGAGCATCAGATTCTTTCTAGCACAGAAAAAGAAATTGATCTAAAGAAAGAGTGAAAATGATTATGATATTAAATTCTTTGATATCTTTAAAATATTCGGGCAGGTGGACCTGCTGTCGTGCATCAACTCCATTTTTACCAAGTGAAGTCAAGTTTACATGCTTCAGGAAAAACTGTCTTCCAAATCATGTTCCCTTTTTAAACACAAAAGTTGAGGAGAAAAGCAGTGAGTTTTGGAGTAGAGTTTTAAATGGATTTCCTAAGTCAAAGAAAGAAGATGAGTCTGTGCTTCTGTTCCACAATCTGATTTGTCATGGACAACCAGAGAAAAAATTCGGCCATTTCATTTCACTTCTTCCATTTTCTTTTTTGACCTGTGCATTACTGCCAGGGACCCACTCTTTATAAACTTAGTGAAAACGACTGAATAGTGAATACCCAGCTGATCTGAGGGAAAAAGAACGTGAAAAAAGTGAGATATTATTTACCAAAGCCTAAAACCTTTGCTAATCTCATCTGATGGTGCTCAAGAGGCTTAACTGGAAATGTGCCAATATATATACAAGCACAGATTTTGATGTTACATTTCTGACTAGAAAAACCTAGCAAGGCTGTTGGTTGAGTATTTTCATCAATGTGTATTTAGAATCATCCTTTTGGTACTTTGGAACAATATTTGCATTGGAGGTTTATTGTGAATAAGGTAAAAGTCTTAACATGACCAGTGTGTCTGCTATTATGAAGAGGAGAAAGGGGCTAATGGGTAAGAGTCATACAGCAGCATTCCTTTTAACGCCTGTTTCTGTTGTCTTTCTTTAGTGAAAATCTTCATAAGCCCCAAGTATTTTACATAAAATCTAATTTGTCTTCAACTGCACATGTGCAAGAGGTTGAAATATATGGTTTATCTCTCTAATTAAGCATATAATCATGTCTTCAGGACATATTGCTGACTTTCAAACTGACTGGCCAATGAATTCAGAGTTGCATCATTATCTTCCATGTGACATTTCAGCATCTTCCACTGGCAAATGTTTTACCCTGTATAAAAAATATCAGTCAAATATAGTGAATGATTTACATAATGTTAGTGTGATTTATTTAGCCTTTTGTGTTGTACTTTGAATTGTGTTGTTAGAATACCACTTGCCCTTGAGGTACCTGGTGTTCATGGCCTGTGTACCTCTTCCCTACCTCTTACCTGGAGGGTGCTGCTGCCTGGACTTCTGAGAAAGGGCAAAGATGCGGGAGGCCAGCGGGTAGATATATGAGTGAGGACTGGGGATAGTGAGACGTTGAAGTCTCAGGTATCACCCAAGACAGCTGAAATGGCAAAAGAGGGATGTAAATCACTTTTTTTGTCCTAAAGTGGAGGAAAGCAAAAGATTTGAGCCTGTTGGGGGTCTATTTTGTCACAACTTTGATTTATTCTTTTAGGAGTACATTGTGCAAATTAATCTCATGCAATAAAAGTAATAGCTGTGTATTTCAGTTGCAGGTTAGAAAGAAGAACTGTCTTCCATCTCAGACTCTTTAGATTTAACATAAACTGTCACAGAGTTCTATCTTTTCCTTTGTTATAGACAACATCAGCAAATCGGACCAAGTATTATGTCTCTTACCGTCGAAATGGCTTTGTACAGATGAAGTTGCCAAAATATGCTTTGCCAAAAGTAAGTGTACACATTTTTCTTCCTATTTATTCATTTGTTGTCTTCTCCTTCTACCTAAACTAGTTTTGTTCTTCTCTTTTTTCAACTTCACTACTCTGAGATCACAGTTTCCCTTGAAAGGATTTCTGAATACTGTTTGTGGTATATTCTCAAACCTACTGTTCTTATTTTTATTCTAGCAGTGTAGTAGGTCATAAACTATAGAGGGCAAGAACATACACTAGCTTATTTGTCATCAGATACACAACAGTTTCTGAGCTTTGCTTCCATGAAGCAGTGCTACGCACCCAATGGCCATGTAATGATTTTGAGTGAGTGATCTTTCAAGAATCAATTACAGTTTAATTCCACATGGTGCTTTCTGGTATAAGCATGAATAGCAATATAAAGAGAATTTTACCAGTTGATGATGCTCTGTTTCATTAAAGAATCCCAGTCTAGACTTTAATTACTTAACAAAATCACAAAGATTTGTTGAGAGGTTCATTCAGTCTAGCATATTTTTATAGTGACAGGGTATCTGTGTTTGCATGTAAATTAGCATTAAAGCACAGACAGATATTTACAGATGGTCTAACTGATGCAATTGAAATTTTGTGCTGCACAGAGTGTGTTTCCTAACATTAGTTATAGTTAGAAGGCTTCTGCAGTCCTGAAGAAAATTTACTTGGAGTTTTAAAGACACAGGTGGATAAAGCCCTCAGTAACCTGGTCTGGCCTTGCAGCTCTCCATGCTCCTGAGGTTCCTGCCTTATCATGTGATACTGTGTGATTCTGTCTCTTGCTTGGCAGAGAACTAAGATATTATCTCTGCATGTCTTGAATTGCACAGGTTTAAATCATTGCTCATCTAATGAAGGACAGTGGTTATTGTTGATATTGCTGTTACACAAAGAATGTGCTTAATAGGGTTTTTTTATCTTTGATTATTTTTTTTTTTTTAGTCTGAGTGATGGTCCAAATGGACCAACTGAATTCTGGTTTTAAATGTACAGCATATTAGCAAAATCCTCAGATCTAATCCTCATATATTAGTTGAATGAGAATCTGAAATTTGGGTATTCTCCTAGCAACACTACAGACATAGCTATATATTTCTCTATCTATTTTGACAAGAAGTATATAGCTAAGGAAAGGTAAATAAATCAACTCTTCCACATAATTATTTCAGTGTTTTTAAGTCCTTCAAAGTAGCCTTTATGCTTTCTTGGGAGGAATTTGTAATTAGGAAAACAGCATGAGAATATCCAGTTTTAAATTTTAAAATATGCCAAACATGGACATTCCAAGAGACCACAGCCCATATATAACCCGTGCTGGGGTGGAAGAAAACAAGTAAGGGACAAGGGAGAAAGCAAAGTATAAGCAAGGAGCCGCAGAAAGAAGCCCTTCCACAGATGACCCCTGCACAGCCTATTTGCCTCACTGAAGGAGCTGGAAGGAAACAAATTAGCACAAGGTGGAAACACAGAGTTGAGAGTAGGAAGGGGGGAGAAGAGGCATTTGCTTAAGCTGAGCTTAGAGAAGGGGGAGGAAGGATATTTCCATAAGTGGTTTTTATGCCTTTTTTTTTTTCCATCAATACATAAATCAGTAATTTAAAGTGTGTGTTAACTGGCAATAACTTTAATCAGGTAACATTCCCCAAGCTGAAATGTTTTGCCTGTGGCAAATTTCTTGAAGAAGTGCCGGCACATTAGTGCAGGTGTTGACTGTGCTTTGAGTGGGAAAATATTGTGTGTTGGGAAACAGTAGGGCAGAAATCTTGTAAGAGAGACCAGGGTATTTCTCCCTTCTGTTTCTGGATGGCCTGTGCAGGAGGAATCTGCACCTTTCCATTGCAGTTTCCTTCTCACACCCAGTAATCTGCTGCGTTTGGCGAAGGCAGCACTGTCCTTTCTGATTCTGTTGTCACATAGAAGATGAATATGCTAACTCAGCCTTTTAAGAGCTGTACGATGTGTTATGATTATAGATGTTGTAGATGGTAGTTCACATTCCACATGTCAGTGATTACTTCAAGTATTCAGGAAAGTGAATTATTTTTAACAAGTTGGATGTGTATAATACCTCCTTAATGACACATGCCTCTGATTTAAGTATCAATATCGCAGCACACTGTATTAATAAAGGGCATGTTGTTTGGGTTCATATCTAGCTGTCTGACAGATCAGAATGAATTGGTGGAGGTTGCCAGATGTCTTTATAAGCATCCACGTTTGTAATAAGTGAGCTTGTGTCAGTTGTGAAGAAGAGCAGCAAATATTACAGGAGGGCTGGAGACAACTGCACACAGTGGGTGACCTAGATCTGTGTCCCAGGGAGCTTTCCTTGGAAGGAAAATCAGTTTAAGAAGTCCTCCACAATCATTTATTTCTGCAGCCCATGATGACCTCTCATGTGTTTGTGGGACTGCACTATAAATAAGATCAGTGTAGTGATCTCAGTGAAAAACAGCCCTGAAAAAAAAGTGTAATTTGTTTTTCAGAAAGGCAGATTAAGAGGCATCTTTATTGTAGTGAAGAAGCATCCTCAAGGGGAAAAAATACTGAGTCGTAAAAGCGTTTTAGTAGATAAAGACCCGCTATAGTTGGGAGCTGAATCCAAATTAGAAACTGAGCTGAACTTCTTAATGATGTTGGTGATTATGTATTTGAAACAGTGCCAAGAAAAGTGACAGATATTCTGGGTTTTGAAGTTTTCAGATCATAACTGAGTGCCTTTCTGAGAGATTTCTTCTAACCATATAGAAGTTATTTGCTCCTTATGCATCTTATAAAATATATGCATCATATAAAATATGCAGAAATAATTGTTGGTAATTTCTCTGCTTGGAAAGATAGCAGAGAGCGAACTAAAGGCTCCAATAACCACTTCTAGCCTTAAAAGCCATTAATCTGCAAAGGGTGCTTAGTTTACTGGGCATATGCTCTTCCTGAGTGCATTTCTGACATACTCAAAAAGCGTCAGGCATTAACTTCCCAGTGTTTGTGTCATATATAGGCTGGATTGTTTGAAATAGTGCTGCATGGCGGATTCTTTGTCTTCAAGAATATGTTTTTTGTTTATTTGTCTTTTTTTTTCCCCTAAGCAGATTAACTCCAGGCTTGACTGAATAAATAAATTAGAAGTTAATAGTTTCATTTTGGATAGAGACAACAGCTAGCTAGGAACAGGATGACTGTGTCATTTGGAAAGGGATGGTTTTGTGTTCTTCCTAGTTCAGGCAGTACCCAATGAGTGGAACGAAATAAACTGCATCTCTTTAGCATTTTGATGATGCCTCCAAGAGAAGTTTCTTTGATATCTGCACACAACAGAGCTGAAAATTTCACCAAGAGGGCCTGGAAGCCAGACATCTATTAAAGCAGTGGTAAATGTAAGAGATTTTAACCTCTTCTGAAAAGATACTTTTTTTTTTGTAAGTGATTTGGTACCTTCACATTACAGCAGAAATTTCAGATACTGAGCTAAATAAGAACTCAGCTCTGAAATTTCTCATCACATCATCCTTTAGTGACAATCATCTGAGTACAGTAGAAATGTATCTTCCACAGAAGGGAAAAGATTCATATGAGCAAATTACTGACGAAGTTTTGCAAAGAAGCAGGATATCAGCACATAAGGAGTACAACTAGAACACGTGACTGTGGAGTTGCTACTTTTATGGTGGTAGGAGATAAACAGAATAAAAGAATTCACAAAGATACTTCTTTTTTCTTAAGACTGAATAAAGCCAATAGCTTTTGAAAGAACTGAGTTTCAGGGTTTTTAAAGTATTAGATGCTGCCTAACCAGTGGATCTGATATAGCTTATATTTCATTTTATTCAAAAGAATTGAATGAGCCTTCAAAAAATCTCTTTCCAAGTGGTCTCTGTAAAGTGCTTCATGTCACTGACCAGAGTATTTGAGCAATGATTATGTACAGGCAAGGAAGACTGTAGCCAAGTCAGAAGATACTACAGGCTGGTCAGGGATATGTCTGACATTAGAAGTGCTGTGCTCGAACACCAGGCTCTAGCCTGAAGGAACAGTGCTGGGTTCTTCAGATACTATTCTTTTGCTGCACAGATGTGTTTCATGGTGATTTTACATATGGAGATAGAATAAACATTTTCAGACTGAGCAATTAGAAAACATTATTGATGTCTCCTTTTCCTTTTGATATGAAGAGGTTGAAAATCTGCAAAAAAAAATATTCAGTAGTTTTATATTGTTTGTACTTGCATTTATGTTTTTATTTTTCCAAATGTACTCCCAATGAGAATCCTGAAAAGGGATGAATGTTTGTTTTTGGACATACCTCAAGGCCTCCTTACCTGTGAATCAAAGGCTGCTAAAAGCTGCTTCCAGCCAAGTTTTACAAGTGCTAAGTTTCTAGGCCCCAGCTCCACAGTGCCACTTAGATCACCTTTCTTGTAACACATCATCGCTCCGTATATGTACAGAGGACAGTTGCTGGTGACCATATAATGAACAGAATCCAGGTTAATTTTGTTATATTTTAGCTTTTTCTGTGCTGTTGAGAGCTAAAAGAGCTCTTAAGAGCTATATTTATTTTTGTTGTAGTAGCATGTTCAATACTGGCACTACATCAAATCACACAGCTATCTCCTGAACTTGACAGGAGTCAAGTGCCAGCTGCTGCCAGGCAGGCTGGTAGCAAAGGTTGGTAAAAATATATTAAAGGCTGCCTGTATGCTCCCCAAAACAGAAGAGAAAATTCAGAGCTGTTGTTTTAAAAAAAGGAATTGCTTTTTATACTACATTCCATGTCACCAAGATTGCTTGTTCTGTGCTGCTAAAACCACATTATAAGTTAATAACTTGTAGGAAGGGAATAGAAAAATCAAGCTAAGAACAGCAGGATTGCATTTGTGTGTCAGGATGGCTGGCTAGGCATGCAGGAGTGTTCCAGGGAGATGCAGGGATGTCCAGCATTCCCCCTTGGGCTGTTCTCAAACTGGAGCAAGGGTTCTGCTGCCGCTGCTTGGAGAG